TTACAACGTAAAAACAGTCACGTTAGAGGTAATGCACATTAATTTGAAAAAACCATCAATCGCATTACGGATGTGGTTGATTTCAGACTGACAATGATGCAGCCATATTCAGTTGCAGATAAAAAGCACATTCAAATATGTATTTCATATGAAAACCGTTGTGTAAAGACAGAGCAACACAGAGAGAAGAAACACTTTTGCCACATAGTTCGTGTACTTTGAAGCACTAAATTGCACGGATAGATTTATTTAATCAATTGATGAGCCTCATCCATTGACATGTGCACTGCATTTAAAATCCAAAAAAACATATATGTTCAGTAAGAATATCGACAGAGTGAATCGATTTCCGTTGCAGGCTTCGTACCGCTGAAGGACAGTCCAGTTACGTTTGAAATGCTTATTCATACGAATCATCAAACGTTCTAGGCTATCAGAAAATTGTTTTTTTCATGCAGAAACGAGCCTGGAGAATCACGTAGAACGAAAGAGATAGCTTCTGAAACCGAGACTAATAGGCGCTGCGTTACGCAAACAAAAAAATACAGATCCGTTCCGATGGCACTCACCTCAATCAAACTCCAACGTCGTCCTATCAGGATGGGAGCAGCCAAACTGTACGTTCGAATCGTCAGATTGGACTGGCATAAAATAGAGAAATGAAAAACTGATCTCTGTGAGAAATTCAAAACACGCTCGTGAACAAATGGGTTTGAAAACTAACGCAGCACATACGACAGTGTGACCACCCACAAGTGATCGTAATATAAACCACATATCGACTGTATTGGGATATGGAGATGTCTTGTAGCATACACAAAACACGTCATCCATAACCATATTCATTTTTATTAATTTCTGAAATATTGGCCTCAATCAATAAAGCTTCATTACACCGGTGTTAGCATGGGTGTTACGTTTGTATCTCCAAAGTAACTTTCTGCAAAATTTGGGATCAGACATAATAATAATAACACATGGATAATAGATAATCTCATCACTGCTGCTCTCTTACAAGGTGTACTGCAAGGCGCTGTTTTATTCCATTTATATTTTAAGTTTACATTTCCTCTATGGCTCTCCTGGTATTCAAACAACGTAATATTGGGACTGCCTTACCCCAACCCATCACCCCAGGCCACTGTACAAAATGACGACAGAAATAGCGGAGTGGTCTGAATAGAAGAACCTCCGTATGAGCCCCGCCAAAGTGTATTTTCCCCCATTTGAAATGTCAAAAGTATGATGAACTATCAAACGCCAGTGCCCTTCTATCTATCTTAAACGACCAGATTGATCAACAATCGCCTATCAAAGATCTTGGTATTATTTTCAACCACGACGTCACCTGGTCTGACCACGACAAAGATACTTTTTGTTCTACGTCTTAAATAACTTTCTATCCCAAATCATTCCATACCCCCCCCCCGCTTGGTCTTTTTAACAAGGACCACAAACTCATTCCTTTATCCCTCAAGTTTCTGTTGGTATGTCCCACTACATATTGATTCTAATAGCCCCTGTTTAATTGTATATGTCCGTTCACTAAGATTTACAAATTCAATGTGATAGAAATGTGCTTGTTTGTTTTACGTCATCGATTGAGAAGATTAAACGAAATGTTAACATATCGTGACATATGTCTTCTTTCGGTCTCGATACGATGTATAAACGAAATATATATTTCATAATAAGTAATATGTGAATGACTGGACAAAATTTCCAGAGAACTTGTAGCTTGTAAAGAACAGAACACAACAATACGCATTCGGTTTAGGTCTCCGGCCATAATCAAGACAGCCATCTCAGGTACCTTAAGAAGAAGTTCATGTAAGCTAAGATAAGAGTTGTCTTTGATTGTATTCGGGCCACAGTCGGTGGCTCGTTGTGGTTTGATGATAATCAGTCGTGCATAATTAATCCCAACTGATTCAATAATCACATTAATCAATCATTAATCGTCACATCAGCTCTTGAGTTAAATTTGCCAATAAGATTCTGGACGACCCTCCTCAATCACCGCATTCCGATCCATCATTTTGCCGTTTGCACCAGTTCACATGCTACTCTTGACGGCATCTACCCTCTCGTATTACCGCTTATGAAAACTCCCATGTACACTACCTGGCCAACTCGTTATCAAACGAGAACAGGTCGCGAATGAACTACGTCAAAAATTTTGTAGATGAAACAAAGTACAGGGACATCCTTTGCTTTGCGTGTTATATGAAACTGTACATTATATTCCGGATGACGACCAGTGTATGTTTTTAACTGAAATGTAGACATATGAGCTTACACAAGTTACATAGATAAGAATCAGCACCGACCATTTGGTTTCTGCCTGTTGACTCTATGGGAACGTCTGAGTCTCACGGCGTATAGTCAGTCGTCTTTCAGTTTAGGTTGTACAACGATAACCCACGCATATTCGTGCGCCGGTTTTGGTTACTGTCTTTTGGGTGCCAATTCGAAAGAAGAATAGGAGAAAATAACGTTGAAAGTGGAGTCGAACAATAACGGAAATGTTCAGAGGTCTAAGGGTGCAAAGAAATTGAGGAGATTCACGAAAGCCATTGTTTACGACACCCAGCCATGTCACTCAGTGTCTCGAACCATCGCTTATGATTAGTCCGAGGTCCCCAGCCACGAAGCCAATCAGGACCAGGTCTCCTGGTCAGGGTTTTCATACCCTCGTGCCAGGTCCCAGCTTGGCCGCCCTTGGCTTTTTTCTACTCGGTGTCTGCTCTGGCGAACATCGCTCGCCGTGGTAACCTATCAGGTGAAATCAGCAACACATGTCCCAACCAACGTAATCTATGGAGGTCGACTATTAGCTCTAGTGGGCGACCGCGGATATCCAAAACTCTGCGCCTAACCTCAACACTGCTCATCCGGCTACCCCACCAGATTCGTGCAATGCTGCGTAGACAGCGGTGTTCAAACACCAACAATCTTTCTTTATCCTGTTTTCTTAATGGTCAAGTCTCTGCACCGTATAGCACGACTGG